AGTACCTCAATGAAGCTCACTCACTCAATTCGTGGGGTTTCAATCGCTCTTATTCACCAGGAATACTGTTCACGAGCATCAACTAACGCGCTCAAAAGTGCTTGGTCGGAACGCAGAAAACGAACTAAGTCGACTAAGCGTCATCTAAAACTGTTTTACTCGCACTACCTAATGCCGTTCATCCGCGTTCTTGAGACCTCCACTTAGTTTTCCGAGTTCTCATCAGTCCTGACGTCAGATACATCAAATCGATTCCATTCGTAATCGCCTTGCTTACGCGAGGCTACTCTAGCACATTCGCATAGAATACGGATCGTCTACGACACGATTATCGATGACATGGGCTAACGCTGAAAACCCGACTACGGCCTGAATGTAGCAATATTGACTGTGAAGTTGTTGTTGAGCTGTCCCAACGACTTACGTTTTGTCTGTGCGTATGAAGCGTCGTCCACTGCCGTCATCAAAAGAGTGGGTGTATTCTTGCCACGTCGTATTCTTTGTGACGGTGCTGTAGCGATCACGAAGTTATTTGCGCGAAGAACAAAAGCGGTGACTGCAGAAATGGGACAGAAACGGCAGTCTAGATCGTAGAGACGTAACACAATGACAGATAGAACGAAGAAGAGGAGTACGATCAAGATAGTTGTACGCCTGCGATGCCTGCAGAGTATCTATTTGCAGGGCCGAAAGTTCTCGGTGGTGATCTTATGCTTGACGGATGCGCTGTAAACTTAGATGAGAGCACATGCCGAACATCTCAACGCTTGACGTGCGCATGTCCGTGTTTCGTGCGTCGATTAAAATTCTGTGTACAGCGTTAGCAGCAGCTGTGTGAAGTCGAATGGTTGTCATTTTGCTTACGGTTGAAGTTGTGTTTGTGATAGTGGCATGCGATATGCGAAGGACGAAGGTCAATTTCAGTAAGAAGAAGAGCTTTTTGACGAGTTCACGTGATAATTAGGCGTGTTGCATGTGCGGTTACAACGGCATGTTGAACGGCACGAATCCTCTTAACGTAATGCTGATTTCATCCGTGTTCTTCTATGGACCGATCACGCAACAATTTAGCGAGACGCAGTAGCTGCTGTTGGCATAGATGCCATGATCTTTCATCTGCGGCACGCGGCTGCTTGTCTACTCAATGTTGAGTTGATTCTTAGCTACAATGAAGCCGAATCGACGAATCAGAACGCGGATCGATTGTACACGTGCTTCGGCAACCATGCGACAGTACCCTTATCTTCGTTTTATGTGCTCTAGCTGTAGATAACAATACACACAGTAGGAAACGATAGTTGGTAATGTGCCAGGTTATAACAATGATGCACAAGCACCGAGACGGGGTCGATTTACAAACCATGTAGTCCACTGCCACTGAAAAAACCAAAGCCGTGAGAAGGAGTTCTCATCGACATTGTCACTTCGTCTATGCTGTTCCGATGGCATTCGCCTCCAGGCATTCAATGTGGGACGTTGTGCTACTCGTCTGGATGCTAATGCCATTAACCGTGTGGGCGAAGCTGGCATTTCGACTCACTCGATGATACCTGCAACAAGATGTGATACTCTGTAGTCTGCAACAATGAAGGTGCTGCGTGCATATACAGAGGACCTCGTGGACAAAGTAATTTCGAACAAGTTGTGCGTAAGTCGATGCGGTAGAGTAAATACACCGCATACCGCACGCTACGCACTGTTGGCACCACAAATGCCACCAGCCGCGCAAATTCACTAGACTTCTGGTCGTCGACATCTCAAACAGCGTCTCTCCTGTCTTCTGTTCCCCGTCTACTTCGAATCTAGATCCTTTTCCATCGTTTTGGAGTCGTTATCATGTGTCGATTTTGTAAGGAACTCGTTTTGTGCTGTATGTATGCAATCAAAAGCATCGAAGCCTAAATTGTAAAGGAGGTCGAGTGTCTATTCGCAAAAGTGAGAGCTCCGTGGCGCTTCCCTTCGCAAAACTATCGTTATGTAAGCAAGTGGTTCACATAAAGTGCACTTGCTCGTGCGTATTGTGCACTTACCCAATCCCTTATGAGTCAGGCCACGGATCGTGCCACAGTCATATGGATCATGCACAGTATTTTGAGACGCATTCCATTTTGTGTTGGCTCAAAGCAAGCACTTGATCGGCACGTGAAGTGAAATGCTGATGGGGTAGGAGGTTGAAGGGAGGGAGAGAAAGCGATGCGTTTGCTCAGCGCCCCCCTGACCGTCCATACATCCTAAAAAGATTATTGATCAGATTGGTCATTCAAATAATTTCAGTTTGTTATGCGAGCTTTCTATCGATACCCAAAAACAATTTGCGAGCTCTAAGAGTGAAAATATTAGTGACTGTGCGCCAGGTGAATGCCGAACTTTTTATTCGTATGTATCTGTGTCTGTGCGTCTGTGTCTGTGTGAGTGTCTGTAAATAACGTGGCTAGGTGTACCCCGCGCGAACCAAGTACGATCAAGCCTGTTCTCCCCTCATAGGTATATAGGCATATCCAGAGTCACTCTTTGGCTTGGTCAATATTGTGTCACACGCTTGTTAATGGCTTATAATCGGTCAATAGTGATTATGGTCACACAAGTAAATGCTAGACGCTCATAAGCAAAGGCTTATCCGCGTTGCTCTAGTATGCTGTACGAGATTGATACATAAATTGACAACAATTTTATCGTTCTCCATCGTCTGTTGTTGTACGGTGTTTTGCAACTAGTTCAGTTCGATGAACTGGATTACTTATCAAAGAACGAGCTCCAGAGCTTGCTCCCCTATCTTTCAGTCTTGTACTGAATTACACATACCAAAGGGCGAGCCCCAGAGCTTGCTCCCCTATCTTATCAGGGGAGGCCCCTCTGACACCGACAGAGAAGGGTGATGTAAGTTCGGTTTAGTAAGTTTGTCGACTGAAAAGTACGGAGCTTTTTCTCCTGTCTTAATACGGCGATGTCATTTTCAATCCCATTCTTAGAGGACTAAACCACATCTGTTGAGAGTAAGTAACGTGACGTCGTATACGCCTGGCCGTCACTCGACTTTTTGACCAGGTCGGCGTAAAGTAGAACCGATTATTACATTGCGATGGATGCTCAAACAGCAATGCACGATGGAAGATCACAAGTTTGTGGCAAGTATAACTGCTTTGTATTCAAACTATCACATCAAAGACCGTGCAGACAAAAGTTGGTTGGTAGACTAGCACAGTAGCAGTACGAGTCAAGAATTCAATGGCTGCATCAAACAAAACAAAAGCGAACACTTCGAGTGACGCTTTGACCTATGGCTGGCCTGCGCGTAACTATTGGCGAAAATGCTTCTTCGGTGAGCAGTGCGCGGTGCAACACGTCGTCGCTTCGAAATCAATTTCGGAATCACGGAGCCAACACTCTCTTGCTGCAGATTCCTTTTTCGCCTGGGAGTCGCAAGCTGGCGTATTACCACAGTACGGCAACCACTGGGCATGGGTAGAGACGATCGAGACGGCCACGGCGAGGATGACGAATGCGCAGATCCTGATGTTCATGATTGCGGACGATAGCTGCGTACGATGCTGTGGGGTAGTTCGCCTGGCTTGGCGAGTGTCAGAATGAGAGTCAAGGCGAAAAAAACGGAGGTCTAGGCCGTTGAGCGCATAAGAAAGGTCAAACGTTAGGAGACGATTCACCTATCCGAACACAGACTTGACCATCCATGTATTCAGTTTCAGCCTGCTGTAAAATTTTACGTTCGAGAGGGTTGCGACCTGCTGACTATGCCATCTGTAGGGCGCTCTCGTCCGGCACTGCTCGAGGTTCAAGATCGCCAGAGATCCAGGTATATGATGGGTCGTTCATGCATCCAAAAAGCAATGCGGAAAATACAATCGCACGACCATACTTCCAGCATTGTGTAAAAACGAGCTTCTAAGTTGTGGACGAGAGGTACTATTATAAGTCTGCGAGCGTGGGTATGGACGGCCATCTGTCATCTATATTTTCGTGGCTTCATACTGCTCTATAACATTTAGTTACAACTGCAATGCCAATTTGTACAGCTGCTTCGAGTTGCTGCATCAAGTGCGCTTCACCCTTGCCAAGCCTCGATCAGCAAAAGCTTGATCGACACAATTTTTGTTACCCATACATAAAACGCTCGGACGGGTCACAGTGAAGCTTTTCTCATTCTGTAAAAATTTGCAGTTCTCACCGCATCCCACCGCTTGTTCAACTTTTACGAAGTGGTCACGTATGATCTGGCACATCTGGAACGAGCTGTTGGCACTAACTACCGTGGAAGGGGTAACTTTGAGGAATGTTTCGAGCGTCGTCGTTGACGTCAATAACGAATAGAAATGCAATATAAGGTGCACGCACATTACCTCAGCATCACCACCAAGTCTAATGGTCGGTAGACCACGAGTTCACAACTCTTTAGAACCTCTCGAAAAGTCCAGCTGGTATCCGTGGAAACCCGGGCACCAACTAGCAACAAGGGCTTCGTCTGAAGTAACAAGCAGAAGTTTGTGATTTCTCCGCGCAAAAAAGTGAGGAATTACTTCATCAGCGTATGATCGTCTTCGAGAGGGTGCCCTTCATGGTAGCCGTTGTGGACGTCGAATGTAGCATCAACGAAGCGATGACGCAACGAACTATGAACAGCCGCCACCTGGTATGTACCATACGGAAGGGGTCGTTGGTCGTCTTTTTTGGCATTCGTGAGTATAGCGTGTCAGGCGGGGGGTTGGAACAGAAGACATTGTTGCGGTGATTCGTATTGTCAGGGGTGTGTTAGCATCTGACGTAGGGGGGAAGAGAGCCGACAAAGGAGGGGCTGTTTCGTCATACCAGACTGTCCATCTGCTAGATGATTAAGTTAACAACGACCGGGACGGTAGAAGTCGTCTAGCAAATGCTGATCAAAACCGATGTACTTGACTTCGAACAATGTGTGACGTAGTACAAGACATCGGACATCAGAGACAACAAAGTGAGAGTGCAACGGAGTACAAGATATCGTGTTCCTCATGCGAGATGTCGTGTTCCTCATTCAAGATGTCGTGTTCCTCATCCAAGATGTCGTGTTCCTCATGCGAGATGTCGTGTTCCTCATGGGAGATGTCGTGTTCCTCATGCGAGATGCCGTTTTCTTGATTGTATAGTGGCTCAGTGTGATGCTGGGACACAGCACCGGGACGTAGTTGGCTGGGGCGCACCGCTACGGTTGGTACAGTTCCAGCATGTTTACACCTGTTGGTGTATACTGCTCAGTCCAACAGAGGGGGTTGTCACCTTCGAGTTTTTTTTCTTCCTCAATCTTAAAGTGAGAGAGGCTCAGACTGTCCGTTGTTATAGCTACTTTTCACTAATATGGTGACTGGTTGGGTGGTAACCATCTCGAGTCATCGACCATGATACAGTCTTACGACTCCTAGCTTTCTCATGTCTGGTTGTGTGGTAACCACCTCGTGTCACCGACCGTGACACAGTCTTACGACTCCTAGCTTTCTTATGTCTGGTTGTGTGGTAACCATCTCGAGTCACCGACCATGACACAGTCTTACTACTCCTAGCTTTCTCATTCTGCTGGCTCAAGTCGTCGGGCGTCACGGCGGGGCACTCCCGAAAGTGCCCGTGGAAACCGTCCGTTGACTAAGTCCAGGGTTGGATTCTCGTGTGCACTCTACCGGATGGCGCGGCTGCTCTCGCGCTCGGGGCAATTTGATTCAGGGGACAGAGGAAGCTTGACTAGGACTCCTGTTGCTACTGCGGTAGTTTCAGTGAGCCATCTTGACTTAATTTCTGGTCATCACCTAGTAGTCGACTTCTTGCTCTTCAGGTCGGCTCGGGCTCACAACGTGCTCAAATGTGCCCAGACGCACCACTAAACGACGAGTATCTGGCTCGGTGCTACTGTACATGAAGAACCGGTACTGGATCTCAACGTGAGTCATCACGGTCTTGGGGGAGTTGTAACGGGGTTGCACGAAATCATGGTACTTTGTACCAGAGGTGTTACACACCTGAGGGTTCGCTTCTGTGAAGGTGATATAGAATATCTTATCGGTTTGTAGGGGCTGACAAGTGTCAGCCATTAGATACGAAAGATCTTTGAGTAGGATTAAGATATTCTATAGGCTTTAACATTAAATAAAATCAGTTCCCATTTTGATCTGAAAGACGCGTGGCTTGCGAGCCGTCTTGATCGTTGATCTCTGATCACTAAGAGTTAGCAACACCTCCTTGAGGTAGCTACTCTTGAGCACTAAGTGCTGTCGATTCACTGAATCGTTAGGTCCCCTGGAACAGGGATCTGAAGCTGTAAAGCTTGCTGACTCGTAAAGTCGTTAGTTCTTTGGAACTAAGTTGCTCGTAGAGCGTTAAGTCTTCCTCTGACTTAAGGAGCTGTGTAGCTCCGCTACACTTGGTAGCACTAGTAGTCAATCTACGCCTGAGTCTTTAAGACTGATCCTCTGTGAGGATGGAAAGCATCACTCCCTATCTGAGGCCCAAAAGGTCGCGCTTGACAAGCTGACCGCATCTTTGGGTCCAGAGTACGTGGAGTTTCTTGTTTCACAAGGTCCTGAAGTGCTTAATGCACGTGTTGACGGCTTCATGCAGTATGAAGCGACCCTTTTAGGGCAGGTCCAAGACCAAATAGCGTCAGCTATGCCTACACGCTTCGTGTCTGTACCAGACGAAGAGGCTAAGCCTCGTCCACTTAAAGTGGACGTAAAAAACTACTCCGGCAAGGAGGGTGAGAATCTCATCCTCTGGATCCGTGAGATCGAGATGGCCATGAGATCAGGCCTGATCACGCTTGACCATCAACAGGTCTCGCTGGCTATCTCGAAGCTCGATGGTAGAGCTAGAGAATGGGCCTTGACGTGTAGCACGTCGGTGGACATAGCGTTTCCCACATGGGAGTCGCTCAAATCACAATTGGTACAGGTGTTTTCCCCACCTAACCAGGCTTACCGCGTGCGCTCACGCTTTCTTTCTACCCGCCAGGGTAAGAATGAATTATCGGACTATGTCCAAGAGCTGCGAACGCTCATGGCTGCAATGCAGTCTGACCCTCTGCCTGAAGCAGTCCATGTGACTATCTTCATGGAAGGTCTACGTACTGGCATTGCCAGAACCGAGGTTTTTCGGGTTCACCCCTCTACGTTTGAAGAGGCTGTGAGAATTGCTCTTAATGCTGAGCATAATTTCAAGTCGGCCAGACTTGGTTGGAATGGATACAATCCTCGCTCTGTGAGAGCAAACTATTCGGGTACCACTGCCTATAATAGGCCGGAACCGATGGATCTCAGCTATGCTGAAGATGGAGGTGAAGCTGAGCTTCAAGCTGCTGAGCAGCAACACGTTGTAAGACGATGCTTTATGTGCGGAAGCACTAAACACTTGCGGCCTGGTTGCCCTTTGCGTAAGCAACGCCAGACTACGAGCCAACACTCGACCCCGAGTCAGAAGTCTGGCATGGCACGGGGAAATGCCGACACCCAGTAGGCGCGGGGCGCCCTACTGGGGAAGAACTATGTTCTGTTACACCTTTAGGAGGTAAAGGAATGCAGGGCTTAGCCCCAAAGAGTACCATACCTACGGGTATGGTGCGTGGATACAAGTCTGGCTTGTTGGTCGCCGAGGCGAAAATTAAGGGCTTCGAGAAGCCTTGGTCGATATTGATCGATTCTGGAGCGTCTTGCAATTATGCTCGACGCCGTTCCCTTGAGGGAAGTCAGCGTTATGTTGAGGCGCTTACAGCGCATGAGGGTGATTCTATCACGGTTCGTTTAGCGACTGGAAGTCGCGTAACGGTGCCTAAAGTTCCATTGAACTTAGGTATAACGTTTTTAGACTTTGACAGTATTGAGCGCTGTCTTGTCCTAGATTTGGACTCGAGATATGATCTCATCCTAGGTATGGCTTGGCTTGAGCGCCATGAGCCATGGATTGATTGGAGGTCTAAGACCTTAGGCGCTACGCGCAATGTTCCTAGCGAAGCTTTGGAGAGTCATGAACCCACCTTTGCTAGGCAGCAAAAGCGCTATTGGCGCGAGCCTTTGACAGAAGATGTCAATGTGCTGGATATTGGAATGTCCGAGTTATCTAACTCCCATGTTACAAACATAAGTTTCGAGCCTAGCTCGTCTAAAACTAGTGAAACGGCACGTACTCCGTTGAGTGGTACTCGTTGTGATAACGAGTCACTGCATGCTGAAAGCATGGTTGGCCTAGGGCCGAGTGATCAAGGACGTGATTCCTTTGATGTGTGTATGGTGGCACGTGAAACTACACCGAGTGCGGTCGGCCGTGAGAGCACCGCACTGAATGTCGGTAATGACATTGTTGGCGATACGCCGTATAGTGTGGGCGGCCGTGAGGGCACCACACCTAATGTCAGTAATGACATTGTTGGCGATACGCCGTATAGTGTGGGCGGCCGTGAGGGCACCACATCTAATGACAGTAATGACATTGTTGGCGATACGCCGTATAGTGTGGACGGCCGTGAGGGCACCACGCTTAACGCCGGTAATGGCGTTGTTGGCGATTCGCCATATGGTGTGGGCGGCCGTGAGGGCACCACACCTAATGTCGGTCAAGACAAAAGCTCTCGTATAGAGCATACTATGGTTGGTAGTAACCATGGGGACAATATTGTCCCGACCCCTAAGGGGAGTAAGGTCTCGAAGAGACAATCGAGACGCCGAGTAGCAGCTGTAAAGCGCCAGGCGTCCTCACAGTCACATAGTGAGATTATCAATACACTGTATACACTTGTTAATGGAGTGACTGGTCGGGTTGATGGCAGTGTTTGCCTTGAAACCCTTCCATCCGTGGACGCTCTTTGTGAGCTAGACGAAATGTCTGATGGCGAGTTTAGCCAGGCCTTGAAGGCAGGAGAGTTATCCGAGTTAGCGGTCATTAGACCTGATACTGAGTTGAACTCTTCCTCGTTAATGGATGAGTCTGTCCTAGAGGATACAAAGGCGGCACTTAGTGCACGAAGTGGATCTTCGATCCTTAAAGATCCGTCGGATCCGTTCTATCCTTTAGTCAAGGAATTTCAAGATGTGGTGTGTCACAACCCACCTTCTGCCTTACCTCCCGATAGAGGTGTACGTCATGAGATTGACTTGGTTCCTGGAACTAAATACTGTGTAACACGGCAGTGGCCTTTGCCTAAAGAACAGTGCGACGTCATTGACGATTTCTTTCGTGCTAAGCACGCGGCTGGGATGGTTCGTGAGAGCAAGTCTCCCCACTCAACACCGACATTTTGTGTCAAAAAGCCAAATGGCAAGTGGCGTATTGTGCATGCTTACAATAAGCTTAATGCAGCTACTATACCGGCGCAGACGCCTATTCCTCGAAAGGATGTTCTTCAGAACAATATGGCGGGATGTACACTGTACAGTGCACTCGACTTAGTCGATGGTTATTACCAACTGCTCATGCGAGCAAGCGATATTCCGCTAACAGCGGTGAGTACTCCGAGCGGTATGCTTTGGGAGTGGCTCGTTATGCCGCAAGGGCTATCTAACGCCCCGGCTACGTTTAACCGGTTGGTAACGCAACTATTCAGACCTCATCGAGGCTATGCACAAACGTACTTTGATGACATTTTTGTCCATAGTCGTGCAATGAATGGGCGATCAGATGTGGATAACCACATTGATCATTTACGAGCTGTGCTCGAGTGCATGCGAACGAATAAGCTGTATGCGAACGCATCGAAGTGCATCTTTGGTGCAGAAGAGATTCCCTTTCTAGGGTGCTTCATTGGGAAGCGAGGCCTTCGAGCGGATCCCGCTAAGGTAAAAGCCATAGTCGATTGGCCAGTCCCCAAGAACCAAAAGGACTTGCGTAAATGGCTTGGCCTTGCCAATTACTTACATAAGTATAGTGCAAATTACGCAGATATGGCTCGGCCATTGTCCAATCTCCTTAAAAGGATGTGGGTTGGTGTTGGGGGTAACACCGAACATAATGCTTTTGAAGCAGTTAAGGAGAGTCTCCTCCATGCGCCAATTTTGGCTTTGCCCGATTCTGGCCGGCCTTTCAGTGTCGTCTGTGACGCATCTGACTTTGCCATAGGCAGTGCTCTGTTACAAACAGATGTCGACGGACGCGAACGCGTCATCGCATTTGAATCTCGACAGCTGAAAGCTGCTGAAAAGAGCTATCCTGTTCATGACAAAGAGCTACTTGCTATGAAGTACGCTCTTGTCAAATTCAGAGTCCATCTGCTTGGCTCGAAGCCATTTGTGATCTATACCGATCATGCGTCATTGCGCACTGCGACACAGTCGCCTCATCTCTCACAGAGAATGGCTCGTTGGCTATCTTTCTTTGCCGAATATAACTTCGAGGTGAAGTACAAGCCAGGTAAGCAAAACGCTTTGGCTGATGCGCTATCGCGTCGACCTGACTATGAGCTTGCTCATGTTACGACCCTGTCGTCGTCAGTCCCTGACTTAATTCGTGCGGCATATGCCAAGGACGATCAGTGTGTAGCTTTGCTACGTGCTCTTGGGAGCAATGAGTTTAAAGACTCGGAAATAGAATTGTCGGCACGTTTACGTGCGAGGCTACATCGATATTCCATCGATAATGGCCTATTGTGCTATCGCACGGATATTGAGGACAACCCTCGTATCGTAGTACCTCATAATGAGGAATTAAAGTATCGGATCCTCTATGAGGCACATGATACTGCTTTAAGTGGTCATCTCGGTCGTGAGAAGACTTATAGCTCGGTGAGCCAAAGCTATTGGTGGCCCAAACTTTATAAGTGGGTGCGCACCTATGTGCGTACGTGCGAAACGTGTCAACGGGTAAAACCCTCGGCACATGCGGCGGCGCCGCTGGCTAGTTTGCCAGTACCCAGTGGTTGTTGGGAGTCCATGAGCATGGATTTTGTGTTTGGCCTACCGAAAGATTCGGA